GTGCGCAGATGAAACGGAAAAATCGGCAGCCCATTCTGCAGCGGTCACGGCGTCTCTGGACACTGCCGAAGCATAACCGAACGCGGCCACGCTGCGCCTCCCCCTACCGTGGAAGAGGGCTGGCGCGCCACCCGCTGCCAAGCACTCGTCCGCCCAGCCTCTGCGGAATGCATGCGTGCCCCACTCCGCCGCGCGCTCGAGGCCTAGCGCCAACGCCGCTGTTTTCAGCGTGGCCAACGCCGCCCTGTAGGACAAACCAGGGAAGAGTGGACCTTGTCTGGCACGGCGCTGGAGGACGCACACCCCGCATAGCTGCCGCGACTGGAGTGCGCAAGTGCACCGCCTCGACACTATCACAGTTTCCGTCTGCATCTTCCGCTTGTGGAGATACAGAGACGCTTTGGGGAGACCCTCGTCGACCGCCAGCACGACCTTGGAGTGTTCCCCGTCGCGTTCCAAGGGCACACCTCTGACGCGAAGCGCAAGCAGAAGTGTCGCGCAGCCACGAATGAGTCCGCCACCAAAGGATCCACTAGAACGTCCCGCACATGGGCCGCCAGGCTGCGGGTAACCTGCGCTGTGGCCCGTGCCCGGAAAACGTCCCCCGGTGGACAGCGAGATCTTCGTGGCTCCCCGCGCCAAGGCAGACGTGTCCTCCAGGCACCCCAGCGGTATCCGGATCAACGTGAGCGCCGAACGGATTTGGGTGCAGTACGTCATCAGCGTGGTGCCGTTCTGTACCGCGAGCGCGAAGGCAGCCAAAACTGGCTTGGCCAGCGACCGCGGGGCTAGCCCGAGGCTCTGGGCAACCTGGCCCCACAGCCGCAGGGCAGTAGCGTATTTGTATGCACTCTTATGCCAACCGCCAATTTCCCGCCTTAGCAGCTTTTGCGTGGCGTCGAACTGAGACATGTTGTCCTTCATCTGTGCAGCACGCTCCCTGGGGTTGCCCGGAGCGTTTCCGCGCCGTCTCGTCCATGCAGCTCCTCGGGCGAGACGCGGCCGAGCGCCTGCACGGCGTCAGCCACCTCCTTTGCGTCCAGAAGTGCGCCTCGCAAGCGGGCCGCGGCTAGAAAACCGAGGGCCGTCAGAGATGTTTCCGTTGTCGGCTGTCTCACCTGCTTAATGCCCCCCTGCGCCACTGGCGCGGCCACGACGCCTTGGTTGGCTTTCCCTTCAGGACAACCAACAGCTGCCGCCGCAGCGGCGCGCCTCGTCGTGGACAGAACAGTCAGGAATTCATTGGACAGAGTTCTGAGACAAGGCCAAACGTCCCGAAGATCTTCTACGCCCACGTCGAAGAAGTCGTCGCCGCCCACGGCACCACCGTCAGCAAGAGCGCCTAACACGTCGCCTGGAACTCTGGGATGGAACTGCGGCGGCGTGCGCCGGAGCACGGAGGCGAACCACTCCTCCAGAGCAGCTGGTGCGGGTGATCGGGATCTGCCTTGGCCTGGCGCCTCGCCTGCAGCAGCCGCACCAGCAGCGCCATCGCCTTGTTTCCATCTCTTGTGCTTACGGTCGCTCAACTCAGATGCCATTCTGGGCCAAACCAGCTACGGAAAAACAGATTATGCCACGCGCGCTTCACATTGAAGACGCGGCACGGCGGCCGCAGCTCAGAGATGAACATTTTCCCCGCGCTCAATTTTTGTTCCAGTGTTCACCGCTGCCAGAACTCCACTGACGGCCAGCTCCACTCGACCCCGGCGAAACCTGACGCGACAAATTGCGCCATCTCTGGAGTTTTTGTTCCTCCCGAGTGGGCCAATCCGCCACGTTTAAATGCAGCGGCGCACGGGGTGCACTCAAAAAGTGGCCGCGGATCGCAGCTGCATGCCAGATGCCTGTCACCATGGCGTGGAAATCTCGCTGGCACCCGCGGAGCAATGTGCCGAGGGCTACTGTGGAGCCGCTACAAGTTACTATATCGAGTCCAGCCGCGCCTTCTGCTTCCTCGAAGGAGTGCCAGAGTGCGCACGCCGCCGCTGCTGGCGCTCCCACGCGTGGATCTGCTGCTGCCTTGGGCAGGCCCACTTCCTGAGCCAGCCTGGCGGAGACGATGGGGAAACACCTTGCGACCAGCGAGCACCGCGGCCCAAGCCAGCGTGCCTGCACCGGTCGCGTCTGAGGAAAAAACCAGACGTGGCTTGACAGACGGAGATAGCGGCACAGCCCTGCATGGCTGCGAATGAACGTACAGCGGACGCCACAGGAGCGCTTTGTACAAACGTCTCGAGATGCGATTGCTTTTGCCTGCTGCGTGCCTGGAAAGCGGCGCGAGATAGACGCGCGCGCCTTTCCCGAGCACCTCGGTGGCTCCCCAGCTGAGCCGTCCTGCGATCTTCTGCGCGTGCGCTGGCGTCAGCTGCTGGCTCTGGAGTGCCCCGGCGGTCTCCTCGAGGGATTTGCTGCACTTCTCGCGCGGGATGACAATATTTAAACATAGTCCGGCCGTATCAACCGACACACGCACGCCCAGCGCTACAAAATTGCCAGC